ATTTAATTTTCAATTCAAATTTAAAACAAAAAAAGAATATAAAATGTAAAATTTACCAATCCATTTGAATATTATTTCAAATAAATATATAAATAGAATACATCGATTTATAAATACAGCTATATTATAAACAAGAGACTTTGAATTATCTGGTGAACTATATTCTGATGTAATACCAACACTAATCTACGATTGAAATTCATCATGAGAAAAATATATTAATTCTATTATAAATACATACAACATCTAAACAAATGATTATACTAATAAACCATTTGAAAAATGAACTATGAAGAAGCCAATAAACAAAATATCTTAATGAACTTTTTGATCGAAATAATGGATCATGATCTAGATTTGATCTAGAGATCGTTTGTCTAATGTTTGTCCATCGATTATCTATATGTTCTGATGTCAAAGATGTATCTCGTCGTTCATTAGAAGATGCAAGTCGCTAGCAAAATACAAGCAATTACAAATTTTCTTTGATAATAAAATAAATAATCAAACTTGTTCACGAAATTGTTTATAATTTCGAAATTTTAGTGTTGCATTTCTATTTAAATTTATTAGAGCATCATCAACTTCAGCTAAATTCGAAATATGATCACCTAATGCTTGTGTTGCTGGTTCATTATAAACATCAGTAACAAGAAAATGAAATAAGCGTTGAAATTTCGAATGAATAAGACGACTTTCAGATGATATAACATTATCTGAATTTGTATGATGTGACAATAATGAACTTAGTGCTAAAATATCATTAATCCATTCTTGTTTATTATTAACACTTTGTTTATCAGATGATGATGATGATGATATTGATTTAGATTGATTAAATTTTTGATTAATGATTTTATTTCTATCAAATAAATAATCTTTATTATTATCATCTTCATCAGTGATTTCAGAAAGATCATCGTTGAATTCTTTTATTGAAACCATGCGATTAATTATGATAGAGACAATTCTAATTATCGAATCTTCCTGCTATGTGAAAAGAAATTACTCGAACATTCGCTAATATTGTTTTTCAAATGTTTAATCAAAACAATTCATTTAATCTATTTATTCTATATGTTGTTAAAAAGAAAAGTAAAATAAATAAATTATTAATTAATTTAAAAGAATTTCAATCTATTGAACCTATTTAATCAGTAATGGATTACTAACTTCTGAAGTTATTTCACTTTATTGAATTAATGCATAGAACAGATGTTTATCTGGTAAATATAAGGAATTATTGATCAATCTGATATGTCCTTATCTCACATCTATCAGAAAAAAAGAGAACATCTATATATTGCTGAACGTCAATTTAATACAGATAATCAATATTTGGAAAATTGTATTGAACAATGTTTTAGTTGCCTGGTTTGATAATTGATTATTGTTAATTTATACATATGAAGTCAGAAGAAAATTACTTTTTCTAACTTTAACAATTGATCAACAATAGTTTTGTAGATATTGAAAGACAAATTATGCTGGTATCGAACGAGTAATTTAAAACGTATTACTGTCATTTGTTCAATAAAGTTCTAATGTCTTCGAGCATGGGCGGGCCGACATAGGGGCGAGAGGGGGCAATTGCCCCCCTAAAAAAATTTTTTTGGCTGGGACTTAAGAAGAATGCCATGAAAACAAGCGTTTTTAAGCGAAAAAGTGCTTATTGCCCCCCCTGAAAATTATGTTCCGGCCCGCCAATGTCTTCGAGTGAAACTCGCACTTTCTCTAATCATCAGTATATGATAACCTTACGCATTAGCTTTTCATACGTTACATCTAACTTTATTATATTCAGCTAATTGTCTCAACGAAAATAAAAGAAATTTTTAACAATAATATAAAGATAATATATTTGTGACTCAGTTTGTAGGATAAAAGTTTAGTAAGTATATTTTTCTATAGTTATTGAGCCCATAATAAAAACGTTTTTTTTTTCTTTGATATAAATATAACAAAATTATATTTGGTTCTATGCCACGATAAAAAAAGCGACGTCTGGATTTTATCATGAGTTTCATTTTTTTTCCTCAGTTAGTATTTCATTAAAAAAAAACCATGTAATGACATTAGTCATATTTGCTCTTCAATATAAAACATTATACATATACATTTAATAGAAAAATAAATTTAATTTATATCATGTATATATATATATACATATATATGTATAAAGGCTGAATGATTCTTTTAAAAAGAACTTGATGTTGCTATCTACTTTAGACTATTTTCTAAAGACTACTTATATTTAGTTGATTTAACATTAATAATAAAAAATAAAAGACATGTTAATAAGTTATATCGTGCCAGATCTAAATCGTTTGTATGGTATTTTTGTAATTTTTTTTCCGTCAATTGTCACAAGCAATAACGATAACATCATCAAATCAACTAACACTTGTCAAAAGAAAAAAAAAAGATGAATAGAAACGATAATTTCTCTCTTTCTTTTTTAAATATTATTTTTACTGAAATAAGAATAATAATTGTTGACATTCACTTGAAACTATAAAAGTTCTACAATGCTTGCTGCTATCCATTATCGCATTTGTCAATCGTTTAATATCTTTCAAGCAACAATTGTACGTCTTGCTTTTTGTGGACACAATTTAATAGCAACATATTTTCTTTATGATGACGTTAAAGATTATTGGTGTTTACTTAATTTATGTGGAACGATATTTTTACTTATTGAACTTGTTGTTACAATTATTGAACGACAAGGTCTGGAACCAAAATGGTAATATCATTTACTAATGGATACAGTTTAAATATTAGTGATAGATGATATTATTGACTGTTTTGTTTTTGTTTTTTATTAATAGGTTTTCACCTTCATTTCTAATTTTTATTCTTACATCAATTCCAAGTTTATGGTTACTTGAAATGCGTCGTGTAGCTCAACGACGACTAGCTTTTAGCACAAATAATAACAACACTAATACGATCCTTTTTGATCAATTTATACTGCGTATGGGTAATGATGACTTTGATCCAAGTCGAGCTTTACCACATAATATTCTCATGAAAACGGTACAGCAATATATATCTTTTAAGGTAAAATGTTTGACTTTATTTTTATTAGCTTCGTATCAACGTAAATTTGGATACAAAAATCATGGGTCTTGAATTATCACTTCTTCTTTTAATTATTGTTGGTCGTTGGTTATTACCAAAAGGTGTAACAAGTCGTTCAAATTTATCTCAACTTCTTCTCGTTTATATGTCAATTGCATCGGACATTGTCGATTTATTAACAATATTTAATGAAGATCAAATTCTTCTTTCGCAACGAATGTTAATTGCGACATTAGTTGTTTTATCATGGTCATTATTACAATTTGCTACAAATATGAGAGCAGCAAATAAAAATACTCGTTCAGCAAATGTAAATCATTTTCGTTATGCTTTAACAAAACGTCGTCGTCGACGTACGTTTTTCTTATATCCAATGCAACGTTTATTTGAAAATGATGCATGGTATTTATATGAATTAAATTTAATGAGTTGTTCAGCTACACAATTAGCTTTACGACTTGTTGCTGTTTTTAAATTTGAAGTACGAAGTTATTCAACATTATTTTTTACATGTAAAAATGGTATTATTCTATTTTTACAATTTTATCGTCTAATTGCTATATTAACAGAACATGATAAGTCTGATCTTGGACCAATATATCAAACAACATTTAATAGTGACCAACAAAAAAGACGACAAACACGAATAGTAAATAATAGTATGAAAACAAAAAACGAATTCGGTTCAAAGTTTTCCATACAAGACGATATATCATTAACTATGTAATTATTTATTTATAACCATTGATGACTACAGTTAATTTTTGAATGTTAACATTAACAAATACAAAGACGGAAAGAAAGACGCGTCAGGAAAAAAAAGTTTATCTACAAACATTATGTTTTCTTACGTTGCACTCAATATCTACATGCATAATATAATTATCTAAGTTGCATGTTTCTTTAGAAACTCATGATTTAGATAAGATCGAACTAAAATAAATAAATAAAAAAAAACAATAAATATTTTATGTAAGAAAAATTTTTTTGACGTACAAGATCTTCATCTTCACCATCTTGTTCATTAGTTGTTGCTGCATTATCGATTGTTTCAGCTGGTATTTCTTCTTCAAGAAATTTAATTGCTTCAATTGGTATCACATTTGATTCAACACATTCTTCGTTTGTAATTAAACTTAATTTTTCTAAAAATATGATTCTAATTAATACAAGAGATCTTATGAGGTGTTACAATGTGTCAATCAAATTAGAGACTCTCTTAAAATTCTAAATCTAACTTTACTTTTTGTTGACAAATGAAAAAGTCATCAATAATAATCATTGAATAAACATTATTTTTTAAGCGATATATTTTACGTGTCATTAGTTGAACGTATCAAAGTGAAAACAGTTCATATTACACTATATAATAAGACTAAGTCAATAAGAAATAAAGCTAGTTCGCATACGAAGAAAAGAATAGTCGAAGAGCAGCGATGAAATTTCAATAATGATATATTTATTTTATTAGAAGTTTCAGAAAATTATACTTCAATGCTTTGCACTAACCAAAAAAAAAATCAATCAAAAAAAAAATGTAATGTTATTTACTACATTTAATAGTGCTTTATCCAGATTTTCTCTTTCGGAAGGATTAGCCCAATCTTCGAACGAGTGTCGTCCTCGTGTTGAATAACACACTAACTTTCAGAATCTTTCAACTAGACTATGATTGAAAGAGAAAGTGAGAATTTAATTTCATAGGGTAAGGATTAGAAAATTTTATCTCAAAATTGTGTTTTTTGATCTAACTAAAACATACCATCAATAATTTTTTGCCAAAAATCTTTACGTCCATCAATTGTTGATGCTTGTTTTTTAAGTAATGATTCTAAATCATTAAAAATTTTTGGTTCTAATTTATTAATACATATTTCACGTAGACATTGTAAACATTGAAAAGCTTTTTCAAATAATGCGTCACCATGAGAATTATGAACAAGTTCAAGTATAATATTACACATTTGTTTGCATACTTCAGCAAATGATGGTGAACCTTGTTCAATTAATAGTTTAAAATCTTCAACGGGTGTTAATGTACCAACATTTCGTATTGCTGCTTTCTTTTTAGCTGCTGCTTGAGATTCAAATGATGCTGAATCAGCTGTCGTTGCTGTTGGTTCTTCAATATTTTCATTTTCATCAAGACGAGCTCTTTTCGCCGCACTATCAAAAAACAAGATTTTCTTTGTTTTTTCTTTCTTTCCATAATTAACTTATTTTCTTCTTACCTATCAACATTGCCAAAAAGTGCATCACCTGTAGTAATTTTTTGTCGGCGATCAGTGTCGCGAAGAGCAAATTTTTCATGAATGGTATTTAATATTCGTTTACTTTTACCAGTTATTGATCGTAATAATGTATCATTCATTTCCATGATTGTGTTCGATAAAGATAATGGTTCATCAGGTGTTACAGCACGTCGAGCAATAGACTAAAATTAATTTACTGTTGAAAACAAAGACAACGATAAATAATATTGAGAAAAACAAACTTGAAACATTCGTTGAATATATGGATTAAAAACAAGTTCTGGTCGAAATGCTTCATCACCACTATAAAATTTTGAAAAATAAAAAAAATTTTTTTTTTCTTTCTAGTTTTAATCAAACTTTTACCATCGATCAGCATGTGTTAAATCCATTGTTGTTATTAAATTATCAATACATTTTAATTGTTCATCATTTACTTGATTTCGTTTTGTTGCTTCAAGATTATCAAATTCAAATCCACGTAAATCTTCAGCAAATGGTAATTTAACATAATACATACACTTAAATATTAGATATTTATACATATGATGTTTAATCAATTAAAAGAAAATTTTCTACTTACAATATGATCATGTGCAATATGTGGACGTAAAAATCCAAGTTCCGGAGCACTTCGTTGACTAAAACATTTGCGTACAATAGCAACTGTATTTGTTTCATACATTGCTTGAACAAGACCAGCAAATGCTTGAGCTTCTTCCTAAAATTTAATTAGAAATAATTCAAAAAATATATATCTCATTTTTATAGCGATTGATATACATTCAGTTCAGAATGGGAATATAGATTTGTCTATTTTAATGATAAGATTTATAGTGAACGATCAGTCGTTTCAACAATCAAAAGAGAAGACGTAGGAACGACTTTTCCTTTGATAATATAGAAGACAAAATCATTTTCAAAACCAACGATTTCTGCAAAACATTGAAAACAATATATGAAAATGGTATGTCATTTCGATTAAGTCTTGATCTTGGCATGTCTATTAGATAGAGACACTTGAGATCTATAGTCGAAGAAACTATTTGAATGATTATCTTCATTTTCTTGTTATTAAAATTTTCATGGGAAAGACAAAACATTTTCATACATTTCTTTAAGATTTTTTCCAGAAATTATTTGTTTTAAAATAATTTCGTCTAATATATTATCAAAGAAAAAGAAGTACCCGTAGCTTTTCTTTCAATTGCTGAAAAATCATAGATGGCCAACTCCTTACGTTCTTGACTTATTCAATGTTTAATCAACAAGTTTCGAGTTTCGAACCGACAATGCTTTTTAGTACATAATAGTACTTGCATTTTACAAAATCAGTTATATTCATTTCTATAAAAGATGATCATATATTATGTTAAAAATCTGATTGTTGAAACAATACGATTAAGAGCTATGTAATTAGAAAAAATTTCTAAATGATGCTATGTTTAATCAATTCTTTTGAAACATTCAAATGAGTCAATTTAAATTTTGAAACATCATATCGATCTTTTTAATTTTTTTATTAAAAAGAAATAAAAAAAAACAACTCTTACTTCAAAACCCGATTCAGCAATAACTTCATAGACAGTATCACCTAAGTAAAGACTTCGTCGCATCTAATAGAGAAAATAATATTATTTTAAATAATAAGACTCGTTTGTAAATATTATCGTACCATATTAGCTTCAGAAAATGCAATAACTGCAAAACACTTTTCACTTTGATATTTCATTTCATCAAGTGTTTCTTTATTAATAGGTACAAATGTAGTACCATAACGAAATCCATCAGTTAATTCTTCTTTTTCAATTTCTTGATCTTGTTCATCTTTTGTATAACGACCACGATCAACTTTGATTTCTGTTGTTGGATCACGTGCATAAACTTTTTTTAAACGAAATATTCCTGGCTTATTATCTTTAACCTAATTGAAAAAAAAGAATAGTAGAATAAAATTTAGCAATGATCTTCTTTTTCTATTTTAACCTGAATATAAGTGCAAATATGTAACTGAAGATCAGCTAATTGCATAATATATTTTGTTGCTGTTGGTTTAACAATTTTTGATTGATGAACACTGAGAATAGTTAATGCTTCACTATAAACAATAAATATTACAAATAAATATTTATTCAAATTTATTATTTTCTTTTTTTGTATTATACCGAAATGTAAATAAAGTTCCTTCGGTTGTATTAACAATTTCACCAATAACACGAATACCAGTTTGTTGTTGCTGTGTTAATGGTTTTTTTGGAGTTTGATGACGAGAACCATTTGTTGTTGGACGAGCAGCATCAGAATTTTCATCACCATTCTCTTGTCCATTTGTTTCCATAGGTGAATTTGGATGATTTTCTTCATTTTCATCTTCTTCATCTGGTTGACCCCATGTTGGTCCAATAGCATCAACAATAATATCTTGACGTCGAAGTGAATCAAGAATTGTTTTAAGACTATGATCACTAAATGTTGTTGCTGCATTTGTAAATAACATAACACGTTTTGCAGCAAAACCATGTTTTCCTCTAAAATAAATCAAATTCGTTTTTCTCTTTCAACAAGATCTTGTTTTTCTCACTCAGTTTCACGACGAAGATGATCAGCTGCAACAACAATAGCATCAACCACTAAGAAAAAAGTAAAATAAAATAAACATGAATTGAATAATTAATATGTAGATCGGTTTTTCTTCCATCACTTACAATCAGCTGGATTACTGCCGGGTTTTATTTTTTGTATTTCTTCAAATAAATGCCAATTAGCTGGTGAAAGTGGAAATACAACATTTATATTTCGATAATTATCTTCATCAGCTAAATCATTATTTGATTCATCAGCACCATAAAGAATTAATGCTAATTCATCTTTACTCTCTTGAAACATCTATTTAATAAAAGAAAAGTATGTATATATATTATTTTAAGACCAAGTTTTGAGTTAAATATAGGGGTGAGAAGTTACCGTTACGTTCCCAGGTAACAGGTAACTTTTCCGTTACCGTTACCGGGCCCGCGTAACGGTAACTTCCCACCCCTAGTTAAATAAAGCAAATAATAATCATGACAAATTTCGTCAAAAAAATATTATCCATTTATCTAGTATTTTAATAAGCAAGAATTCATTCAATGGCAAGAGAACTTCTCTAGGTGTCAAATCGTTTTTCAGTTGAGACGATGTTTATTGGATGAGTATCAGTGAGCGATAAAAAAACCTAAAATGGTTTGGCCTTCCAACAAAAACCTGTAGTCTCCCTCAGGATAGGAGATACTATGAAAGTTAGAAATTGCCAAATGAACTAATCTCATTAAGAACTTCGTTCGTACAAAGTTTTAAGTTGATTTTCCATGGTACCAGGTTTTTTTTGTTTTGAAAAAACCAATAAAGTTTCCATATCTCGACAACAAAGGATCGGAAAACCAAATCATCTTCAACTTTTCTATTGCTCATCAAATGAACATAATCTCGATCGAAAAGCGATTCGACACTTGTCAAGGTTCCGTCATGAGAAGCCTTCACCAGAACACATAAGAAGCGATTGATTATGCTTTTTTCAAAAAGTACAAAATAAGCGATTATACTTCAAATGAATTTTAAATGGCATTGGTTGATCCGAGTCATATCTTACCATGGATAGACTGATAAAGTGTATAATGAATTGCTATTTGTACTGAAAATGACATACCTTTCGTTGAACAATCATTTGAAGAATATCACTTGCTAATTGTAAAGGTGTATCATGTCCTGGTGCTGCTTGAGACATACCAATACCAACGTCAACAACAAGAGCCAATGCTTCCTATTAACCAAATCATCAAATCAATAATTATCTACTCATCATATTTTAATTACCTTATTGTACGCCATTATAATGATATACTTTTTCTAACAAAAAAAAACAAATAATCTAAAAGAATTTATTCAGTTGTTAATACATAAGTACCTAATACTTTTGCAGATCTATTCCTTCTAGAATATTACACTGTTCAATATTCGAAGACCAATTTTAAAGCGAACAAAGAAATGAAAAAGTACAAAGAATTTTCAATTGAAGAACAACAAAGGAAAAAGAAAAAAAAAAGAAGTAGGCATGAATATCTTTGTATCGTTCACGTTAAATATTAAAGTAAAATATTTATTATAGAAAGATAAGACGAAGAAGAGCCATAACACCTGCAGATATACCACCAGTGACAGGTACAGTCACAATCCATGCAACAATTATATTTCGAAACAATGACCAATCAACATTTTGTTTTGAACGAAAACGACCAATTGCTACAACACTACCAACTTTACAATGAGTTGTACTAACTGGAATTGATAAATTAGATGCAAAAAGAACGGTGAATGCTGTTGATATTTCAATTACAAAACCGCTTAAAACAAAAAGTTAAATATTAAAAACCAATAAAAAAACTAATAATATATTACCTTGACGGTGTGATTTTTGTTAAATCTTCACCAATTGTTCGAATAACACGTCGACCCCAAATCCAAAGACCAACCGATATTCCAATACCACCATAGAAAAGTACCCAAAGTGGTGTTGATGACCGAGCAGTAACAGAACCATCAACATAGATTAACCAAAGACCAATCAATGGACCAATTGCATTACTTGAAAAGAAAAAAATAAATAACAAAAAAAAATCGATTTCATTGATCAGGTTTCAATATTTTTCATCAAAGTAATTTTACATTCTGAACACCTTACCTAACATCATTTCCACCATGAGCAAAAGCACCAAATATAGCTGTAAGAATTTGTAAATATTTAAAAATACCAGCAATTTCAATTGTATCATTTGTTGTGTCAATTATTTTCTGACAAAAACAAAAATCAAATAAATATTTATCAATTTCATATTTAATCAACTGTTTAAAACAAACTTTTTTTGTTGATATTTCCGGCATTTTATCTTCTATTTCATCTAAATCTTCATTTGAACTATTTTGATTAGCTGATGTTGTCGATGCATTATCATCATCTAATAAATTATACCAAAACAAAAAAAAAAAGACTGGTATATATATATTACATATGCATTTAATTTATAATATGAAAAAAAATAGGCACCCAACGAGAGATATAGCATCAGCATGAGCAGAATAAAATATATATATATATATATATATTTTATTTAATTTCCTGAAATATAAATTGCCTATATAAATCACATGCGGAATTATATTTAAAAAAAAATGATTGAAATCACTTGAGCATTGCATTTCATGTTTTTTTATTATTATCTAATTTCAACCCGTTCATCTAACTTACGGGGCATAAATACTAAAATTATATTCATACATCTACCCATCACCAATAATATAAATATACAAACTAATTACCAGCAGCTAACAACAAACTTTTATTTTCATTAGACAGAGCGCCTGGTAAAACAACTGGATTTGTACTTTGTGGAAGACGATAGATTTTTGTTTTCTTATAAGAGAAAAAAGTATATAAATTAAATAATGAAATTTCTTTTTGTTTTTACTTCACGAACAGCTATTGGATTAGGTACAATTCGTTGTTGTCCAGAAGGATATATACCATCTGATCCAAGAATTTCCGTTCGAAAACGATCACTTTCACGACGTACACGTAATACACCACTAACACCAGGACTTGAGATTGTTTCGGAATCTTTTCTTATTCGTTGCATTTCAACTAACAGAAAAAATAATATTTAATTCATTAGAAATAAAATGAATAAATTTATAATTATTTACCATAAGGACGAAATTGATCTGGATGTAGTTGTTGGTAACGTATTAAATCAAATTCTTTAAGCATTGATATATGATCAATTTGAGTTTCTTTATCACTTGTATTCACATTTTCAAGAGTAACTAAAACATTAAAATAAAACAAATTTCATTACTAAAAAACCGATAAAAGTTCCAATGTAACAATAAAATTAGCTTAAGAAATCATCAGCTCACTTTTTTTTTACGTTACAGAGTAAAATAAAATATCTATTAGTCAAATAATAAATTTATTTAAAATCTATATTTACCAGAATAACTTGCAAATCTTCCATCAGTTTTTGTTAATTGTGGTTCGTCTTCTCTTCGAGTTTCTATATCTCGTTTCTTTTTTGAACCGCCTAACAATAAAAAAAAACAAATAAATATATATTCGTTTTGCTTAACAAATATTTACTAGCACCTGTTTCAACTCTACCGTCAGTTTTTGATACTTCTGGTTCTTCTGTTTCTCCTCGAGCGTCTAAATCGCGTTTCTTCTTTAACAAAGCTAACAATAAAAAGCAATTATTTTATTTTTCGCATAAAAAAAATGCAATTTTATCAAACCTTCAATAGTTTTTCTCATACGTGGTTTAACAATAACCATAACACCAAGACCAACAAGAAGACCAACAAGAATTGTTGTAATAAATTTTCCCCATAATGGAATACGATCAAAATATAAAACTAAATCAATAAAAAACAAAGTGATGAGAATTTATTTCGAAAATAAAAGAAACTAACGTGGTGGTGCAGATAGAAGAATTGAAAAGAAATTGATCATTATTGTTAAGCCATAAAAAAAAGGTAACCATCGAAGACCAACTGTTAATTGATCAGGCTTGAAGAAAAGAAAACAAACAAAAGACATTATATTTATTTCAATATCATTATAAATTTTACATGTTCAAGAATAAATTTTCGTATAAACATAAAAACAGCAATTGATATAATACCAGCTAATGCTGGTGAAGCAAACCATGAACCACCTGAATAAAGTAATTTGTTTATTTTATGGATTAAATTTTTTTTTTTTTTTCTACATACCAATTTTAGCAAATTCAATCCATCTTATACCTCGAGAACCATGAGCAACAAGAGCAAAACCAACTGTTGCACCGACAATACTATGTGTACCAGAAACAGGTAAATTAAAAAATGTAGCAACCAGCAACCAAATACAACAACCTATTTTTAGAATTTGTTGAATAATCAAGAAAATTTGTCTTTTTTTTACCAAGTAATGATGAAATTTGACCAAGCATTAATTCTTTTGGATTTTCGAATAAAGTTGGATCAATAATACCTTTCCGTATCGTATCAGACACTTTCGCTCCTAAATAATTAATTCAAATTATATAAAAAAAACGTCTAGAATTTTTCTAATTTTGTTTTTTTTTTATTCTACCGATTAATATCGACCCAAGTATTTCAAATATTGTTGCCAGAATACATGCTTGCCGCAATGTTAATACTCTACTTCCAACACTTGTACCAAATGAGTTTGCAACATCATTAGCACCAATACCAAAAGCTAGTACAAATGCAATAATAAAGCCAACAATTAATATCCATAAGAGATCAACTGAGTACGGTTCGAGCACAACCATGATGTCGTCTTTCGTTTTTTTTTTTTATTATGTTGTCAATAATACTAGGACAAACTTAAGTCAAATAGTTGATAGGCGAAGTAAAAAAAAGAATATAAATTATAAAGACAAAAAAATAATAGATAGCATTTTGATTCTGCTCTCACCTTTACAAAGAGATTATCGTCATCGCACTTGAGATCTGCGTATTTTTAGTAATAATAATCAATCAAAAAACAGAAGAAATTTTTTTTTCTCAAGGGTCTTCTCTTCTTTTTTCAATCTATTGAAATATTCTAGGTTTATGGACGGATGAATAAAGATAAGCAGTGTACCTTTCTCTATGGGTCATACAAATGCATACCGAATAGAGAGAAAGACGCATATATTATAATAGAAGCGAATACGATTGCTTGATATAATGAATGACTTCGATTTTATTGGATGAAATATCAAATCGAGTCATGTACAATTTCGATATCAGATGTCACTGCACTTAAAACAGATTCGAGCTCATATTCGGTACAAATGTAAATTTACTCTAGAAAAAATGTTTTGTTCTATTGTATGAGAAAGTAAAAAAATAGAGTAACTAAACTAACAAACCTTTGAAAGTATGTGTTTGGTATTCTAAATAACATTCAGTTTATCATATATTCATTGCGTCGATTTTAACACTAATATCTATGAAAGATAAAAAGAAAATATTCACTCATCGAACAAACATGTTACTTTATTCAAAAAATTTCTTTTAGCTATAAAAGAATGCAAAAAATTCATTAAAATTTTTCAATTGTTGTGTGATTTGTTTCTAGTAAATGATGCATGCAGAAAGAGAATATCTTAGTAAAATATTTTCTTTGTTATGATAATAATAGTGTCAACTTATTGAAAGAAAAATAACTCGACATCATTTTTCATGTTTAAAAATAATCTTGTTAGTATTTGCATTTGAATATATTTTATTGGAGTTATTCATCATAGGATCATCTAAGAAAATATTCTTATTAATATTTAACTTGAATATACATAAGGAGAATCATTTGATAAAAGATCAAGTACGAGAGATAACAATTGAAATAAGAAAAATTAATATTTCTTCTATAGATAATTCAAATAAAGTTCTTTTTTTTTTTTTTTAAATAATATATCAATGATATGAGCAATATTGATTTATTCAGAATCGATTTGGATAGATTTTTATTTTTAGTTTTCTTTACAATTATTTCTGATGATTGAAATCAATGTAATTTGCGTGTTTGTTTATTCTTATAATAAACTATTTATCGCATCACATCTATTCAAGTAATTACTGTGACACATTAGATTTATCTGTTTTATATAATTATACTAGAATGATTGAATAGATAAATTAGCATAACTTGAATGTACGATAATTTGTCGATGGAAAATTTTACTTATTCATAATCAAAATAGAGTATTGTAAAATTTTTAAAATTTTACAAAAAATTTTGACTTAATTTCATATATCATCTAAACCATTCAACCGTGTCGAACACGCGCATATTTATATGACAGATCATTGTTCTTCATCAGAAGAAAATTGGTGATATAGAAAATTATATGGAGACGAAAGCATAAATTAAGAGAAAGAATAAAAAAAAAACTAGATGGATGAAATACGATGAACTGTAAAGAGATCTAAGTTCAGCGGTTCATCAATGAATCAGCGAACTATGATTAAAATGTGTTTTACTTCGTGCTTGAGGTAGTTTATCATTTACTACTAATTTCGGTTCTCTGAATCAACTCGTAAATCATATATACATTTGTAGATAATAAAGAAATAAAAAAAATCAATTCTGGTGATTAAGAAGAGATTTTTTGAAATATAAGATATAGAATGCATATCGTAACTTAATATTATCCTAACTATTCTATAACACTGTATCAACTAAATTAAAACTTTTTAAATTATACCTCTTGAAGATATTTAGTCAAGATTCTCGAAAGATATCATTAAGCTATTACATGATATATAGATGAAGTAGAAAAATCTGTTCAGAAATCAAAACAAGAAACCATTATTAAAGAATTTTGTCAAAGTTCTAGTAATCAGCATGTATTTCGATTTGTTAAAAAGAAAAACAATATTGTAGTTAAGAAAAAATGTTTTGAGAATGTTGACGTCGAGAATTTATATACATTATTTTTGAATATGTACAACGCTGACTGTTTTTCTATATGCTTGTTCTGACGAATGGTCGAGGTAACCTCATCATTATGCTTACTATTCGATTAATATATCGAAAAGTACAAAAGTTTATTCAACCGTTTAATTAAAATGTCACGCTGTAACGTATAATTTGCAAATCTGGTAACTAGATTAAAATATTATATTTTAATGTTAAAGTATTATAAATAATATTTGATAATTGAATAAAAGTTAAACTGTTACTGGGCTACTAAAATTGATCTTAATTGTTTAATTATTTGCAAATGTGAATATGATTGAGCGATTGATTCAAGAAACCACAATTTCTGGTAAATGATGAACTTTTATACTAATTTGCTATTAAAACTTAAATATTGTTCGTTTGTTTAAATTATAGATGATAGCATTTAAGACAATAGATACTAGTAAAAACTTTTAAAAATCAATCAAAATTAAAGGAATCAGTAATTAATTCTTAGTTTCTTCGATATATATATATGTATGATTGATGAGACAGACTAATTTTTCTATCCGAATTTTTTCTATATCTATAGTTTCGATATTAAAACAGATAAATACAGTTTGATTTTTGAAAGCATCATTTTATTGAGGGAATATAATTAATGAGAAATAGAAAGATTGTAATCTAATAAAATCGAATTAATACTAATAAAGTTGTTCTTTTTTTTATAGAACAACATGAAAAAAAACATATTTTTGTTTTCAAGACTATTCTTTCTCAGTTGAACACTAGTATGAACTTCACTAAACAACGAAACAATATAGTTACTTGTTTGAAAAGAATGTAGTGGTTACAAGTAATATTGAACCATTCTTACAGTTGGCTCAGGAAGATCATTAATCTTATGTTTATCCATGAAGCAAATGGTATTTTGCTTTGCATTGTTAATAGTCATGCACTTAATCGAATCATAGATGCAAACAAATTAATTTTTCTGAGATTTAATTTCACTACAGAAATATATGTGTTTCCTATATCTAAAATAAGAAGATAGTTGAATAATAAAAAGTGATAAATTTGGTAAAATGCATATAAATTATATATTGATTGAGAATAATATTTATAAGCAGAACAACCAACATATGGACAAACTTGTGTTTGTTGAAGTAAAAGTTATGTTTTCTGAATATTATATTGATTGAATATGATACATGGGATTGAAGTGAAAAGGAAACAAACGTTTAGTAAAAGTTTAGTGCTGAACATAGCAATCCTATTTCAACTGAGCAACAGGATAACTAATTTTTGAACAATTGATAATTTGTTTTTGCTAAGTCTTTTACTAATCGATACCTTAAAATCTTCTCTCTAACTTCATACTATTATTCTCTTTTACCCTGGATACAGTGATTGTTTTTTATGATAGCTCTACGAAGAGTTCGAAAACGAATGTATATATACATTTACTTCACAAGAAATAATTCTATAATCATGTGAAAGTCTAGAAAGAGAATGTAGAATCTCAATAGAATTATCTGGACACACTAAAACTCAAGTTTTACTAGATTCATATGGAATTTTAAGATGTTCACAACAATAATATTGTTCAAAATAATAAAGTTAATAGTCCTCAAGTATTTCAAATATCGGATTATAAATGTTTACAAATGTTAAAGTCCAGTTTGAATCATAATGTTTCAAATCAGTTTCGTAAAAAAAATTACAATCTATATAATGTTTCACATTTACTAGCAGGTATCAACAGCAGTTCTTTCTTCTATTTAATGTGCTACGATTAGTATAACCTTCTAAGACAGATTGAAAAAAATCTCAGCTACTTATTTATCAATTTTGAATTAGGTAATAATATGGTAGATTATAGCATCGAGCAACTTTAAAAGTCTTATAACATGTTAAAATGTTTTCGGTGAATGATATAAGACGAATTGACGTTAGAAAACTCATGCATTGGTCTGAACCCAAAAGCAGGATTATGATATTAGGATTCACGGACTAACTTTTGCATCTTCGACCAAAAATGAACATAAACTTTCACCAAATATGAGCATTATATTCCTTCCCCTTGCGGTCTAACATTTACTGACCATAAGTGACTTAATGCATTGGAACAATACGCTGAAATCATCATCCAGAAATATTATCATGAAAGTAGGCATAATGTATCAAGTATTTATGCAAAGATGTGAGAGAAATCTTCTTGGAATGTAGTATTTAAATATTTATTAAAGTTAATATTTGTTTTTTTTTTGACTTAAGTAATTACTAGCTATTTTTCTAAAATTACAGCAACATTCTGTTCCATTTCAATCGCACATAATGAGAAATGTGCCTGATATTGACAGTTATATTGTTTAGATTCTGAATAGATCTTTAGTAATAGGTAGTATGACTTTAAAAAAGGTTATTTTCAATAGTTTTTTTTCATTTAGTCTCTTAAAATTTTGAGTTGTCTGATTAACATTTAGCAGAATCTAACGTCATTTTTGAAGATATCTGCAAGAAAACTTTTTTATTATAATCTTATAAATATCAGAGTTGCTAGAATACCTTTCAATAAAATTTTGAATAGATTTTACGATATAATGCTAAAATGTTTAATTTTAAATGTACGGTCTAAGAACTGTCAAGCGATTTTTCTATTTGTTGATTCAGTAATACTGTATATCACTGACGATGGCTTGGACGATAGTTCACAAGTAACTCAACAAAAATCAAAAAGTATGGTTGCATTACATTTTGTACTAATGCTAGTTAACCTTAAAATTGTAAAATTGATTTAATGATGCATTGCATTGACGCCAAAAATATTTTTTAAATATACTTAAAGGGATTTTTAGATTTAGACAAGGATATTTAAAAAAA